GTTTGCATTTATTTTTTAAATTTCATTTTTTCCCCAATTGCGTGTAAAAGCAACTTTATTATTAGTTGGCTTTTTTAAAGTTTTACGTTCCAAATTCTATCCTTCCATCTCATCCCTTCCAATGACAATGCCTTCCAATCACAACGGTTCAGATTTACTTCATGAAAATTTGTATGATGATGACATTGATGATGAATATGAGGAGAAAGATGCCAGCTGTTAAGATGATGATGATTCTGGGAATGAGGAGTCGTGACCTGACCCTTCTGTGCTGCCCAGCCATCTCAGGCCAAAGGGAGCAGCAGTAACTCATATAGTTCAGTGGCAAAAACACAGGGGGCTGGGAAAACACATGTGCATACTGCTGTCTCCTGTTGTATGGATCTGTTTGCTCCTTTTGAGGAACTCTCACTGGAGAGAAAGTAACCCTCCACACAATGTCTGAATTCTTGTATTCATTATCCTTCTGTCACTGTATTACGAGTCCTTCTTTAAAACAAAACCTGAAACTCTCTTTTCACTTCATCTCTACAAAGTGTTCACAGAGAAACACATTTGGTCTGTGCTTAGATTCTTGAAGAATAAAATACAGTCTCTCATTTAAAAAAAAAAAACAGAAAAGCAATGAGGGTCAGCAAGCAGTCCTTACCCCGGAGCCAGCAGGGCTGCGTTCTTGAGACGTAAGCAATCTGCCACAGCTTACATGTGTATTCACACATTTCTTAAAACCTCGGTGACCCTTGAAAACAGCAGTAATTCAGGGGAAAGGCTAACCACTTCCCTCATCTGAATGCAAGTAACTTCTCACCACTTAGCACCTTCCATTTGCTCAAATGTAATTTCCTACCTAGTTTCTCAACTCCTCTGATTGTATTTCAAAGCTACTCAGTTCTAGTCTTTTTATCAAGACTGCTTGAAAATCCCCTATTTACAAAAGTTCATAATCTGGGATCCATGAACTTATTTTTTAAATGCTTTGATAATATTTAATGGTTTTCTTTATAATCCAATGATTTTACTTTATACAATTAAAAATCATTTTTCTAGTCATAAGTCCATAAGCTTTATCAGAAGGCCAAAGGGGTACATCATACTAAAAAGGTTAAGAACCATGGCCTATTCTATTAAGATCTATTTTTTCCTCGCAGAATCATATTCCGTTTTGGAGGATAAGTTATTCTTATTTGTAAGTCTCTCTCCTGCCTTTTGGAACATTGTATTCCAATATTTTCTTTCCTTTTATGTAATTGCACCATAGTCTTATGTGTGAACATGCCTGGTTCCTTGGTCCTTGAATCCTTTCTTTCTATTTGCAGTATTTTGCTTTCACATGGAAACTTTGGAATTTGGCTAGAGAATTTCTGGGTATTTTCAGTTTGTGGTATTTTTCAGAAGGTGATGGGAGATTATTTTATTTTCACTTTTCCCTCTGGTTCTAATTGATTTGGGCAGTTTCCTATCTTAAAATACAGTATCCAATTTTCATGTGGGATCATGACTTCTCGGGAGTGCAATGATGCTTAGAATGTATCTCCAACTCTAACCTTAACCTATTTTCTAGGCCGGTTATATATGTTCTTTTTAAAAAGCACTTTACATTTTATTCTACTTTTTCAATCTTTTTATTTTGATCTAATCTTTCTTGTCTCCTGGAGTCAATTCAGCTCTTATTGTTCAGTTGTTTCTCAGAGACTCTATCTCCACCCCCCCCCCCACCTTTGGTAAGGCAGTTGGGTTAAGTGACTTGCCCAGGGTCACACAGATAGTAAGTGTCTGAGGCTGGATTTGAACTCAGGTCCTCCTGACTCCAGAGCCAGTGCTCTATCCACTGTGCCACCTAGCTGCCTCTGAGACCCTATCACCTGGGAAAGGCTTTCTGCTTTGTGCCTAAGCTACTCATGCCAAATTCATTTTTCCTCTTGCTTCATTTCTTCAGTTCTTGCAGCCCCTGTTGCCATATTATGGCAGAGCAGCCCCTGAGCACAGCTGACCAGCAGCCAGGGCCACCCGCCCTTCCCCAGGAGGCAGCCGACAGACATCAAGGGGCTGCCCTGCTACTGAGCAGGCTGAGGATGTGGACTGCCTGAGCTACAGCGGCCCTGGTGGCTGGTCAGCTGCACTCGGGCTGCTCTGCTTTCTCCTCTCTCCTCTCAGCTCCAGGCACAGTGATCCCTTTCCATCCTTCCCTCTCCAACTTCTGTCAGATTCCACCCCCCACCCCAGCCGCAATCCTGCTTTGGCTTTTGTATTCTTTAGTAACACTTTACTCCCACCCCTACAACCTGGACTGTGAATAGGCACCTGCACCTCCTTTTCAAAGACCTAGCATCTCTGGAGCATCTTAATCTTTGCAAAGCACATTACGTGTTGACCCTCTGACCTTGGAGCAGAGACCAGGGGCACCTGTATTTGGAAGGAAAGCTTGCAAACTGGCCTATGGGCAGAGAAGGAAGCCCCAGGGTGGGCTGTGGGTTCCTCTGTGGGGCAGGTCATGCAGGAGCTGCCCACTCCCACCAGTTTCTCACTTCCAACTGTACAGCATATACACGGCCGCCAGACTAATCTTTCTTAAACATTCGTCTCTCTCAGCGACCTCCAATGGCTCTCCATTCCCGCCTTCCCTTCCCAAATCCCGCAGCCCCTGTGGCTACTCCCCAGGGTGTCCTCGCCCCGCAACACCGCTGTGCCATTTACTCCCACCCCCCCTCCCACCTCCTGACTCCATGCTTCCCATCTCTCCTGGCTTCCCTCCATGCTCAGCTCAGAGCCCACACTTCCAGGCCCGCCCCCCCTCCTCTTTACATTGCAGCTCTCAATTGTACCTTGTCTCTCCCATTAGAGCATCTACTTGCATTTTTGTCCTTCTCTGTACCTCCAGCGCTGAGCACAATTCTGGGAACACGGGGTCCTTCACAAATGTTTGGAGTGACCATCGGCAGTCTCTCACCAGTGTCCTCCTTCAGGGAGGAGAACTCCACATGTCAGCTACTGCAGAGCTCACGCTTTCATGATCAGCAGGAGCCAAAGCTCTCCAGTGGAAGGAAGGAAGGAAACAAGCACTTGTTAAGCACCTAATGTGTGCCAGGCATTGCACCGAGGGCTCCACGACTACCTTGTTTCATCCTCCCAACCACCAAGTGAGGGAGGCCTCCATTTCACAGTCACCTCTAGGGGGCATGTTTTTGTAAAGAGACTTGAACCTGGGCCACCGTTTGTGGCCAAAAGCAGCTTGAGAAACCCTCCAGGTCAAACCCTCCTCACTCTGCTAGGATTAGAGCCTGGGGGCTCGAAGGCATCCTGAAGGCACTTCTGGGGTAAAGGATCACTCATGTCCTAGGCCTCCCTCCACGGTGCAAGCGCCGGGCCCCAGCGCCAAAGGAGCCTTTAGGATGCCCCCCCCCCCCCCCCCCCCGCCATTAACTCCACAGAATCCCAACCTTCAGGCTGGGCTCAGCAACAGAACCCTTCTCATACTGGACATCCCAGCCCATGTCGTTGTGCACTGCCCATTTTGGGTCGGCCCCTAATCCACCCCCAAGGTAAGCTCCCTCGGGCAGGCTGTGACTGCACATCCTCTTCCCTCAACAGACGGGCTTGGTTAGTCAGAGGAGGTTAAGGGTCACTTCACTGGGGCTAGACCCTGCAGGGGGACAAGCCTGCCACCTGGTGTCCTCCATTTAAAATGGGGACAGGACTCTGGGAAGCTGCCAGGGTACTGGAGGCTCCTTATTATTGACTCATAATAATCCCATCTTTCCTCCCATTTTCAGACTCCTTTGTTGAGAAAATGATGGCTCCTTCTCTATCCAATTCCTTGTTTCAAACATCTGTTAACTGATGTTTAGCAGCTCCGCAGGCAAATGAGTTTTAGTTAGAATCCCATCCTGAAGCTGATATGAGTCAGAAGCTGGTCACCCTCCAGGAGGAGATGGTCTGTTTTTGGGGGGCTTGGGTAATCGATCTTACTTCAGAACTGTCATTTGCCGATGCTTAGGCCTTCCAACGATCTTAAATGGAAGGCCCAACATAGTGGATGAGGCCAATTAACACCACAACCCATCCACTGATTCTTTTTTTTTTTTTGGTTAGGCAATGGGGTTAAGTGATTTGCCCAGGGTCACACAGCTAGTAAGTGTTATGTGTCTGAGGCTGGATTTGAACTCAGATCCTCCTGACTCCAAGGTCAGAGCTCTATCCACTGTGCCACCTAGCTGCCCTACAACAAAACTGCCACCCAATACCTTGCAAACCACTACTCTACTTTATCCCTAGTTTGACAAGAGCTGGGAAGACTCAGGGTCTCCCCAGAGTACGGCACCCCAGGCTCAAAGCTGACCTTTCTGGAGTGGAGGGTGTTCCTGCAGGAAGCTGGGGAGTGCTGGACATGGGCCAGCAGAGTCCAACTCCTTTATTAATTACCCAAAGACACCAACAGACCCAAGGAGCAATTTGCCTTGGTACCATGTTCTTCCCATGACGGGGTAATCACAGAAGGGCCTGCAGGGGAGCATCTAGAGACAGGCGGCTGTCTGTGCATAGAAGAAGCAAAAGAAGCTGACCAAGGACCAGGAGTTGTCACTGGGCTGGACATCAAGGAGCACAAGGACACAAATGACCAGACTCACACAGCATGATGAGGAATTTTGGGGTGGCCCACAGGAACGAGGCTGGATCAGGGAAGACTCAGGCAAGAGGCAAGGTGGAGGAGGGCACTAGGGAGCTCTGAAGCAGTCATGGAACCCCGCCTGGAAGTGCACACATCTCCTGAAATGCTACCCCCAAGGGAACAGCTCTCCTGCTCCATCTTCAGCTAAGATGAGAACAAATTAGGAAAGATGAATGGTCCCCAAAGCAGGGAAATCTTTCTGGGACATGACAGCACTGGAGATGGGAGGCTCCAGAGGAACTCGGCCCTCCCTCTCCGCACCTTCCTCCCCACCCCCCCCCAAGTCCCAGGAAGCCCACAAGTGGGCACCTCATAAGTGAAGTGAGTATCTCCCTAGAGAAAAACACAAGACCAGGTTTATTTCATACAATGTTATTCACACGTTTTCATTTTCTAGTTTATACATAATATACAAATAAGTGAATAAAACATTATTCCATACGAACTAAAAAGAGCCAGGACTTATCAGACTAAACAAGCCGGTCCACAAACAGTGCCTATCAAAAAGAGAACGCTCGTGTGCAAAAGCTGAACGTCCGCCCCAGCTAGCTTCCCTAAGTGCGTCCCAGATGAACACAGCAGTGTAGGAGGGGGGCAGGCAGGGAAGCCGCATCACAAGGGGACAACACGGTCACACAAGTGACTAACAGGTTCTCACCCAATGGCCTCCAAAAGGTGGGGGGATAAAATGTCAGCATGGCCCGGAGGGGCTCCGACCGACTGCCCTTGGGGAAGGCACTGGGGCCTGTGCACAGTGTCCCACAGAGGGGCTCCTGATCGGGTCCCAAGCCCCATGAGCAGGCCAGCGTCCCTCCCTAGGATTGGCAAGGAGGGGGGATGGCATGGGTGGAAGTGACCGATGAGCTCTATATGGTCAAAAACCATGGCTGTGGTGATCTAGTGACGCTTACCAAACACTCCCTAAGCCAGGAGAGAGAGATGCCAATGGAAAATCGGCTCAATTCTCTCTTCTTCACCAAGCAATGTTTTTATTTTGCCAATATAACGCTTAACTTTGAACAGGCAAAACATATTCCTGGCACCCTCAAATTCCTGCTGTCAGTCCAGATTCATGATACGAATGATTAAAAAGAGACAATTCTCTACGTGCAGGACTGCCCCAGAGAGGCTTCCTTCTCTTCTGAAGAGCCCAGAAAAAATGCCCTTTGACATGATCCAATGACTGAGATGGCACAAAACCGCAAAGGGCCAACAGAAATGTTTTATACAAAATACTGACTTCAACAAAATACAAAGCACTTTCTTTATCTTTCAGAAACTGAATATACAAAGCAAGCTTTTTTTTTTCCAAAATATTTCCATAGGCAAAGGATTAAAAACGACTTTAATTATACACACATGGTCACAATTTTGCCTTAAAAAGCTCCTTGGGAAATGTACATAAGGCCTCTTGTAAATGTACATCATGTTCGTGTTACTGTTACAATGTCCGATGTCCAGAGAAAACAAGGGTATTTTACACATCTGCTCTTACTTGGGAGGCTATTCAAAAATACAGGACTCTTCTGTACAAAGAAAAAAAAAATCACACCACATCGAGGAAGATGGAAAAAGCCCTGGCTTCGGTGAGTCGCCTTCTCAGTCCAGAACTTTCTTACTATGCACAATACCCTGACTTATCAATCCAATTCTCAAAATGTCTGTAGTAACAGAATCAACAGCTATGTTATGAAACAAAATGACGTTTCTCACAATAGATAAAAAGAAACCTGGTTCAGACTTCTGAAACCATATAAAGATAAAATTTTTTAAAAATCACTCTTGATTTGGAGAAATAAATTTACATTATACAACACGATATGTCAGGGCAAAAGGGCTTGGGGATCTGAATATACACTAAAATGCAATTTTCTCCCCACCCCCCAGGGTAAAACAAATTACATTTACAGCATGAAGGTTTACAAATGTACATCTGTACAGCCAAGAAAAGCTTCACTACCAAATTAGCAAAGTTTGTAATAAACGTTGAACCAAGATCTGTCGTCAAACTAAACTTACACCTAAGAACTACACGCATACAATGCATATATTTATAGGAAGCAAAAAAAGCTCTCTGAATATGCCCTCATGCTTCAGTGTCACCTTCAGCCAGGCCCTCGCGGTCCCCTGACTGACCAAGTTCCTCGCTCCCCCCCTGCCAGCACGGCCCACCCAAGGAGGGAATGCGGGGCGTCTCGGATGGATGAACAGCCATGATTTTACTCTGCTACCTCTTACAACCACTACATAGATAAGCAGACACAGCGCGTCTTCTATACATTGCTAGAGAAATCAAGGGCAGTGTCTGTAAATAAAACCAGCTTCACAGCAAAAGAGGGAAGCCTTTCTCTTCTCGGATCATCTGTTCTTGTCCTCATTCAGTTACCTGGGTAACAGGTTGTGAATTACCAAAATACAACTTAACTTCCTTGGTTAAATATTAATAATATTTATGCAGGTAATCGTCAATCTGGTATAAAAGACTTCACAGAAGGGGGAAAAATAAGGACTCTTATCCTATATACATTTCTATAAACCTGTTGTGCTATGGGGTAGGAGACCTACCAGATTGCAAGCCAGTTTATTAAAAGAATACTGTACTTTTTCCTTTTAAAAACTATTTTTTGTGACTTTACAAGGTAAAAATTTACAAAATATGTGACAGCTATTTTTGATACAATTACATCATATACAGGCATTCTGTGCTTTGCCAGCAATCCAATCTGATAGGTCTTTAATCAGGGTTGGAGATATTCTATCACTCACCCCCCCAAAATATACACAAGAACCTTAAAAAATGTACAAATGAATGAACCAAGTCAATAAATAGGTCTGCTTAACAAAAAACGGCCACCTTCGGAGTTGAGTTGTGTTCTGCAATTCACCAGAGGAGCGCCCCTACAGCACCCCATTCGGGGGGCCGCCAACGGGCCCCAGCTCCGGACTGTTCCTCAGGTAGTACTTTTCCAGCTTGACCAGGATGTGCTTCCCATACGTGTACTTGCGCAGAGTGGTGACGTGGGGCCGGATCTGTGGGGGAGAAAGTCACACCCACCGCTGCCCTGGAGCACCCTTCAGACAGCCGCGACCCCCAAGACGACGGACCTGCAGCGAAGGCGCTGTGCTCCGCAGCTGGGAGAGTCTCGCGGTAGGCTGCTTACCTCTGCCCCTCTGGACAACTTAAAAAGCAGGGGCTTCATGGAGCTCATGAGTTTCAAACCTGGCTCTGCCTCCAGAGTGACCCACGAGATCCTTGTCTCTCTGAGCCTCAGGCTCTTTCTACGTATACAAGCCTGAAGCCAGAGCTGGAAGGGACTGGGCAGGACACCAAGTCCAACACCTGCCTTCTACAGATGAGGAAACTGAGGCACAGAGACATGAGATCACTTGCTCAGGGCAACACACCTAGTCAGTGCCTGGGGCAGGATTTGAACCTTCCCAGCCATCAGGCCCGAGGCTCAGTGGCTCTGCCCTCTCCTCACGCCCCTGCCTGACCACTCACTCCTCTCTACCAGCTTCTCCAAGATGCAAACCCGTCCCTCTCCCTGTGCTGGCCGCTCTTCATCCCTCCTCTCTCGAGTGGACTCCTCTCTCCTGCCTGGCTGCATCTCACCCCCCCAGCCAGAGGCCATCCGGCCCACCTAACCCCAGCGTACCCCAGGCCTACCTTGTGCATGAGGACCTTGCGCTGGGCGGGCTCCGCCATGTCGATCATCTTCTGGACGACATAGTTGGCATACTGGTCCTTCATCATGGTGTATAAGGCACTGTGAGGACCGTCATTCTGGCAGCAGACCTCATCAATCAGCAGGGCTCGCTCAGCACGAGATGCATGCGACACACACTTCTCCACCACGTTGCTAGCCAAGAGAAAACAAGAGGCAGGGTTGCTGTCTGCTGGGCTGATCACGGCACCTCTTGCTTCCTTCTCTGGCCCTCCAAGCCAAGACTACCTTTAACAAACACACAGCACCATATTCCCTAGCCCCAGGGCTGGCCACCTTCGAGCCAATACACACAGTCTGTCCTGGATGGCCAGGAGCAAGTCCCCATCCCTGGACGTCCTTAATCAAAGGTGAAGCCCTGTCCAACTCTGATTCTTAAATCAAGGTTTAAAAAAAGGGAGGGGAGGGGGAGGGTCTGAAAATTACAGCAGAAACCAACAAACAGCCAATGGAAAAGATGCCATGCGCTACACAGCATGCTCATCCCGGAAAAAGAACACGTCTGGGGAGGATGCCTGGACTGCTTTAGACAACTTAGAATCCCAGGGACGTGCACTCACAGAGGGAACTCAGTTTTTGATTTCTTTATCCACTGGGATTAAACTGCTTTCTGAAATGATGATGCTATTTCAAAGGGAAAATAACCTGCTTTTGTAAACAAATAGTCAGGAATCTCTCTACTCCACATCGACTCCCCTCAGAAGCCTGGGTTTGAGAATTTCAAACCTGCCCAAGTGAAGCTCCAGGGCATCAGCGGTGGGGCTTTCTATCCCTACTAGATACATGCACAAAACTTGGGCTTTCTGGCTAGTGCTGTGCAGATATGTGACCCCGAGCCGTGTCAATGAGTGTAAATGGCATTCCTGTATTACAAAAGCCCTCAAAAGCCAGCTGCTTGGACTCTCAGGCTGAGCATCGGGCAGCCTTGGTCCAGGCCTGCCTCGGGCCCCAGAGCGTAGAAACTGCCTTAGACCCGCAGTGCCGAAGCTTTTCGGTCTCAGGACTCCACCTCTGACAAGAGCTTTTGTCTATGTGGCTTACAGCTGCAACATTTACCACAGCAGAAATCAAAATGTCTTAAAAACAGTTTTGACCTCACAGATTGCACTGTGTCAACTCCATGTACAGAGACAGATTCCACACCAGGAGCTCCCTTCAACAATGAAATTAGAAGTCCCCCGCCCATGGCAACAGACTAACCACTTAGGACGCCCCCTATGACCCTGAGCCTTCAGCACACACCAAACACACCGATGTGACGGAGGCATTTGGATATCTGGGAGTGATACCTGGCAAATTTGTGCTGGCTGAGGGTTAGGACCTTGCCTCGGATTTCGGAAACAATCTTGCTTTTGTCATCAGGGCGGCCATGTTCCAGAACATGCTGAATAACGTAGTTTCCATATTGATCCTGGAAAGAGACGGAGTCGCTGATGACATGGAGTCCACGGCTGGCCCCGGGCGTGACCCCTGGGCGAGCCTGCTGGGCCCGAAGTCCGTCACCTCCCTGTGAAGCTCTTGGAAGGAAGGGGCGGACGTGGGCTCGATGCCGGGCAGCCTCCGCCCCGTTCACTGGGTGAGGCCCCTCCCTCCCGGGTCTCCTCCTCTGTCTTTCCTGTGCTCCCCCGAGCCTTGGCAAGGGCTCCAAAAACCCGCCATTCATCTGCTGCCTTCTGTGTGCCTGGACACAAAGCACAACACAGCAGGCCCTGCCCGCACATGCACATGCAGGAATGGAGTCATTTTAGGGGAGACGGTTACAGGCCAAGGAAGGCTTCGGGCAGGAGGCGGCTTCTGAACTGAGCCCAGAAGGATCCCAAGGGAGGAAGGCGTTTAAAAACACGGGGCTCCAGGACCCAGGCGGCCCCACCCCCCCCCCCCCCCCCCCCCCCCCCCGGGGCACACGAGGCACCTGCCTGGACCAGCTGCTCCGTGTGCTGGTGCAGCTCCTCCAGGACGGGCGGGGTCTGCTCAGCTGTGCAGTGCTCCAGGATGCGCTGGATGACGCGGCAGCCATACGGGTGGGTGGAGAGCGCGAACACCTGCAAACACAGAGGCACAGAGCCAAGTGCTGTTGGCGCCTCCTGGCAGACGGGCAGGCCGGGGAGCCCTTGGGAGGGGCACCACCCACAGCCCCAAGAGGCAGCAAAAGGCTTCCCAAAGGTCACCTTCACAACCATCCGGGGAGGGAGGGACTGTTATGATCCTCATTTTACATATGTGGAAACTGAGGCAGGCAGAAGACAAGTAACTGCAGCCCAGGATCCCACAGTTTAGAAGCGTCTGAGGCTGGATTAGAACTCGGGTCTCCCTGACGCCGGACCCAGTGCTCTGGTGCCCCTGAACGGGGCAGAGCTGAACAATTAAGCCCGAGTACCACCCCACTGTAACAAAGGACAAAGGTGCTGTCCGAGGACACCAGGGATGGGCTGCAGGAGACTCCCTCCCTGAACAGGCCGGGCCCTTCCCCGCACGCACCGGGACAAGCGGGCCCAGGCCGCAGGTGTTAACCGTTACCTGTCCTTTAAAAGCGTCAATGATGAACTGTAGAGCCTGAGGCTGCACGCACTCGATGCACTTCTGAACCACGTGGTTCCCGTTCTGATCTTTCACGCATTTGAGGACGTGCCCATCGAGCTCCTTGACCATCTCGTTCTGTGAAAGAGTCACCAAGTCACGCCCACCGAGCCAAAGGGCCTGAGGGGGCCCTGGCAGGACCAAATAAATAAGGGTGCAGGGAAACACAGATCACAGTGCGCTTGGAGGCTCAGGCAATCTGCGGCCCCCGGGGATCCTCACGGACAGTTCAGCGGTGCCCGTCTCTGGCAGCAAAGCAGTTCTGGATGATGATGGCAAGGAACCAGAGCCGGTGAGGCTGGCACCTAGACTAAGAAATCATCACTAACTGACCAGAAGAAAACCCAAGGGGAACAGACTGACCCCTCTTCGAGAACTTTAATCCACAATGACCGACTGTCTCGTGGCACTTTAAACTGATGGCCATGCTGGCACAGTTTGTAAAAACCATCTTACATTAACCTACTTGGGAAAAAATGATTTTATTTTTTAAGGTTATTCAAAGATAATGACAATGGGAAGAAAAGATAAGCTTGCAACTATTCTCTACGAAAATAGAATTTTAAAAGATGTGGTCATAACTTACAATTACCTGCTGGTCAGGGGAAATCGATTCTAATGCTTTCTGAATGACCCGGCAGCCATACATCTGCAAGGCCAATGGCAGAACGTGGCCTCGTATTCGGGTAGCGAGGGCAAGTTTCTGATCCAGGTTCCCAAACTGTAAGAAAATAAGAGCTCTGTGGTCGTGATACAGAATCCGGCAGCTTTCCCCAACCATTTCATCTCCGTGACCCAATGACAGAGCGGAGAGGACAACATTACTCCAATTTTAAAAGTGAGGAAACTGGGCAGAGGGCAGACACCCCCCGATGCCTCCAGCCCACAAGCAGCTGACCATCTACTGTGGGGGGCCTACAAGCCACCAGACCAGAGGGCTCACTGTCCAAACCAGCAGCTGATAATAACTTGATCTGAACTGTGATCATTTCAAGCATCAAAGGGTAGAAGAATCAAGAGGGGAAATCGGCTACGGATCTGATTCTCGATTCTAACAAGGAGGAATCCACAGCCTGTAGGGAGAAGCAAACCCTCCTGCAGAGTTTGTGAAGAGGACAAGAAAGCTGGCAGTCAGACACGCCTCCCTGCCTCCCCCCCACATTCAGAGGAAGGACGGGCAGGACCACAGAGTTAAATTTCTACCCACAAAGTTACCCTGGGAAGGATGGGGCTGATGGGGCTGTACAGGCATGCGGCAGCCAAGATTTTAAAAAAGAAATGTCCAGAAAATGGAATAAAGGTCAGGGAACTAAGGATGAAAATAAAGCATGGCTCAGTCTTGTGAAAAGTGTCCACAATGGGGACATTTATTTCAAAGGCATACTGGGAGAAAAAGGAGTCTCAAAAGCAGGGTTCAGACCTTGGCCTGGGGAAGGTGGTGATGGAACAAGAGGCAAGAGAGGGAAGACAGAGATGTTTAATCCGCAGTTGCTCCGGCGCAGAAGAACGACCACTTTCTCAGTGGCAGAGCACAAGTGGCCAGTAGGGAGGTCATGCCCAAGGAAAGTAAGGAGACATCGGCTTTGTGGGTCTGTCGCTCCCATCAACCCTCCTGGTGGAGAGGGCTCCCCAAGATCCGGCCCTGGGCCCCCTTCTCTCTGTCAGTCGCCTCATTCGAGTGTGTGGGCGCTTTAATAGTCATCTTGGTGCAGCTGACTCACAGATCAGCTTCCGTTCCCTAACTGCCCATGAGATCCCTCACCCCAAGGTGCTGGAGACACCTCAAAGCCAACATCTTTAGTTATCATTCATCCTTCTACACCCTCTCCTCTCACAGACAAAGGTCCTGGGCTACCCCCTCCATCAAGCTCACCTCTGACCCCCGTCCTCCACTCCCAAAGCCACCATCTTAGTCAGAGCTCTCATCCCCGTTCTCCCTGCCATTCGACACGCTGCTGACAAAGACGGAGCCAACCACGTCACTCCCCACTGCGACCACTTCCACTTGCTTCCAACCCCCCTGCCCCCGGCCCATAAGGGGCACTCCAATTCTGTGCCCCCACTGCCTTGCAAAGGCTATTCCCCTGAGCCTGGGGTGCCAGAGGATTTTAAATTCGAAGTTTAGTGAACAGATGCGCAACACGATCAAACCTATGTTTTGGGAAAATCACTCTGAGGGCAAAGTGAAAGACGAACTGCAGGAAGGAGGGACTTGAGGCAGTCAGGCACCCCAGATGGTTGGTCAAGGCTTGAGGTCATGAGGGGCTTGTACCAGGGCGGCAGCAATGTCAGAGGAGAGGAGGGGGAGAAGAATATGAGACATAAAAGGCAGACAAAAAGAGAAGGACTTGACCACTGGCTAGATATGGAGGGGAGGGGGCAGAGGAGAATGAGAAGCTGAGGGTGACATCTAGGCTGGGAGCATGGGTGACCGGAAGGCTGTAAGCAAGAGTGGACGGCTGTGGGGAAACAAGAATGAGTTCAGTTTTAGGCCTGGTGTTTAAATTGTCTACAGCTAGTTTGAGATGTCCCATGATTAAGGCTGAAGGTTGAGAAAGAAGCTGAGGCTGGATAAGCAGAAGCCCCAGGATCTGATAAGATAACCAAGTGAAAAAGTACAGAGGGAGGAGAGGGCCAGGACAGACCGTTGGGGATCCAGTGAAGGTAGTAAAGAAGGAACAGTCGGACAGGGAGAAGGGTCTGAAAGCACATCCGGGCTGAGGAAAGGCCACGAGAGCTCTCCTGCAGGGACAGCACCCACTAGGGCAGGCCCTGCATGTTGCTGTCACGGCTGCAGAGCCCAGGTCTGGTAACAGACTATGTATCTCTCTGAGAACCAGCCTGGCTGGGGCTTAGAGGCACTGCTTAAAAAGCATGTATTTCAGGGCAGCTAAGTGGCATGTGAAAAGAGTACCAGCCCTGGAGTCAGGAGGACCGGAGTTCAAATCCAGCCTTAGACACATAACATTCACTAGCTGAGTGACTTTGGGCAAGTCACTTAACCCCAATGGCATCACATGCAAAAAAAAAAAAAAGAGAGAGAGAAAGAAAAAGAAAAAAGAAAAAAGCATGTATTTCTTGGGACACCAAAAACTCACAAATATCTTTGACAAAGGTGTAGAAAGGTTTTGATTTGTATCCATGGATGAAATCATAGACCTTGGAAATAAGTATTTTCATTACTAACAGGCAAACTTGACATAAATTTCTTCATAAACTGAAATGGCTTTCATGGTTTTGGCCTAAACGTGGCAGATTAATTTAAGTAAGAATTGAGGCATCTTTCTATGGTGCCTCTTCCCAAGATCCTTGGGAATGAAGGCCCATCTGGGATTGTTCTTGGGCCTCAGTCCTGCCACACTCCATCACTGAAACTGAAACAGAGGAGAGCCTTTGCCTCTGTCCTCCATCTCCCGGCCCCACCATTTTAACTGTTTTAACCTCTGCTTCATACACAGTCAAAACCACGGACTGAAAAGGTTTGTTCCCAATCCCACCAGCAACTGCCAAAACGTCATCACTAAGACAAGAGTGAGTAAAAAAGTCAGGAAACTACTTACTGATCAGACTAAGCCCACACAAACTTGTGAGCAGGATCACACTGTGGGCTGACATTTCTTTTTGTAAAACCAGATCCACAATCTAGTTTATTGGGGAATATCACACACTTTCACGATCTAATAACCAGCTGGTTTATCTCTTCTGTTTTCCCCATTTTAAAGCATCCTGTGACAGCAATGGCAGACTGACTCTAACTGCTCAATGGGGTGAGTCAAGCTGTGGGTTTGCAATCTGTGACGCTGACCACCAACATGGTGTGCTGAGTCAAACACCCAGATGGGACCAACAGAGACCTTCCACCCAGCTCTCTGTTCCTGGCTGCCTGGGCAGGGTCAGTCCAGCCCAAGAAACTCCTGAGCTGAGTGACCAGCGCTATCCAAAGTGGGGAATGAACAAGGCTGGAAAAGGCCAAGAGCTCAGGCCCACAAGAATAAGGGGGAGAGACGGGGACGACGCAGGTTAGCCAAAACTCACAAACTCTTGTTATGCCTAGATCTGAGGCTGACCAATCCACAGCTAAGTAGGTCTCTGGATACAGGCAAACTGTCGTCTGGAACGGCTACATAAAAATTCTTAGACAAACACCGTCAGAGATGGAGACGGAGACAGAGACAGAGACAGGAAGGGGGGTGGGGTGGGAAAAAGACAAAATGAGAAAGAAGATATACAAGACACATGCTTTTGAATGCCAAGGCGAGTCCATCAGAAACCAAGTGATCCCCTAAGGACTTGGAATCCTTGGATATTAAGATACAAAGTAAGAACACCCAGAACCGGTGGACGGCATCGCCGCTGCTACAACTGGGCACGTGCTTACCTCAAAAAACTTCTGAATCACGTAGTTGCCAAAAACGTCGGTCATCAGCTGATAGGCCGCTTGCAGAATCTCATTAAACACCATCTGGCGCTCAGTGGGTGTTGCTCGCTCCAGCTTTTGCTGTATGAATCTACATGGAACAGAAACACAAAGGCCAAACGTAACCAATACCAGGGTACACTGCTCACTCCGCAGGAGGGAGAAGGAAAGAAGAGCGCATGTGCCTGCGGCCACCAGGCTGACTAAGAAGCTGAGCTCGGCTTCTAACCAGGTCCTCTGGTTTTCCCTTTACCCCACGTGTTCAAAGACACCCAGAACTTCAGAGCCAAAGAGAAATTTGTGAACATGAATTCTCCCCGCAAACTCTGACTGGAAACCTCCAGGGAGGTTAAACCCAGCACCTCCCTCCCTCGAGCCGGCCCTAACTGGTGGGCCCTGCACGACAAGGCAGGGTTCTCTCTCCTTGGGCTACACTTTGCCCAGTTTCTTCAACGGGGGTCAAGCTGAAGGCCCTTCCCCACCTGGCTCTCCTCTTATCAAAATGCTCCAGAAATGGTCTGACCACAGGAGGAGAGAAAGAGTTGAAAGAACTCTCAAAGATTCATCTAATCTAATACAGATGAGGAAAACTGAGGCCTTTTACCCAACTCCAGCCCCATCTCCACTGCACCCTAACCATATCCCCTATTCTATAAACTACGTCCTTCATGATGTAGCCGGAGATGGCAACAGATTCATCACCAACATTATGAGGTTATCAATCCTTAAAACCTTCAGATTTCATTAAAGTGCGACCTAATCCTACCTGCCTTGAGCTTGGATTTCTGAAGTCGAGGTTTCTGAAATGAATACATCAGGCTTATCACTTTGGGTTTCTTTCTTTCTTTCTTTTGTGGCTAAAATTTTGATAAACTGTATCTATGACATTTTCCTGAGCTACCATTTTAATCAATGGCACCAGCCCAGCCTGGGCTGGCCCTCCTTGATCATTGATTCCTTTCCTCGACATCCAAGAATTCTACCAAGAATCAAAGTCAAATGAGTTCCTCATCCATTCTTTTCCCTCTGGGGGCAAACTGCACAAGAGTTGTCTTTCTCTGGTTCTGTGGCAATCCTCTCCTCCCACCACTCTTTTTGCTTTGGGGGCCGAGGCCTGGGATCTCCTGGGTATAGACTACGCCATCTGAGAGGCTGCCAGCCTTTCCAGTGTTGCCTTCCTCAGGACCACTGTCCAGGTAAGAAGCCGGGCTACATCTTCTTGGCTCCAAGGACAGTGCTTTCCTTTCCACTAGACCTTCCCGTGCCTCAGAAGAGACTGCTTTATCATTATTTTACTCTCTGATTTTATCTGTAGATGGATTTTTTTTGGGGGGTCGGGAGGGTTAGGCAATGGGGTTAAGTGACTTGCCCAGGGTCACACAGCTAGTAAGTGTTATGTGTCTGAGGCCACATTTGAACTCAGGTCCTCATGAATCCAGGGCCGGTGCTCTATCCACTGCGCCACCTAGCTGCCCCTAGATGGATTTTTTAAAACTGGAATACACAGAGCTTTATAGTATATTGACTGATGAAATATTAAGAAATAAAGATAAATATAGTCCTGCTTCAAGGAGCTCACATTCTAATGAGGACGACAACACGCAAAACCCCTCAACAAACAAAGTATAAACAGTGTAAATGGAAGGACATCTCAGAGCGGGTCAGGTGAGGACGGGACAGAGTGCTGGCAAAGACCTCCTGCAGAACAAGGGGAGAACAGAAGCCAGAAAGCTCGAGTAGGGGGACAATTTCAGACAGGAGGAACAACTAGTGGAAAGGTACAAACAGAGACTGGAGATGGTTTATTTGGAGGGGAGTCAAGTATAAAAAAGACTAGAAAACTAGGAAGGGGCCCCCAGTCAGGTTATGGTTCGCCCAATGCTACAGAGGGAGGAAGGTGTATGACTGGAATTTCAACACAGGTCTTTCTACCTGAAATCTAGCCCTTTATCACTGTACCACTAGGCTGTAAATTCTCGAAGATCAGAAGAGAGAAGGGAGCGATGGAAACAGAATTCAGACTTTCTTCATCTTCAGGTCTTTTCCGGCCCAGGTGACTTCTTGGGTTTTGGTGGGTGGGTGTGTGGGTGTGTGTGTGTCTGTGTGTGTGCTTTTTGGGAGGGGGCGTGTCATGTGGGCCTGATTCCATCAGTGTAGGAAAGCCCAGCCATGTCACCAACCCTTAAGCATCGGCTCAGGAGTGTCTGGGAGATGCAGAGGCTGTGTGAGGGGCCTGTCCAGGGTCATGGGGATGTGCCAACAGCACGGTCTGTGTCCACCCTGTGCTACAGCCTCCCCATCACCCACAGTCAGATACAGTGATGTGGTCTGGGTCCTCCCTGAGAATGCAGGACAACCCCCCTCCCTGCCCTTCCTACAGGCAGGACTTGAAGCCAGGCCTACCCAACTCCAAGGTCAGTTCCTAGCCTCTGCATCACCATAAAAATGCTTCTTAAAATGCAACGCACAATCTGGGCAGAAACATGGACTGATATGTAGAAATGGCACCAGCCAGTCTTACACATGAACTTGCTTGCTTCATGTGTATCAACTGAAATGTCATCTTAATTCATCTTTTGGAAGAAAATCGCAGACGAGTCACTGACATATAATGGCTATATGACCTCTCTGTGTTCCAAGGCAACTCTGTCACGGTAACGTGTAGAACACATCCTGCTGGTCTGCACTGGTAGAAGGCATTTCTTCCTCCCCCTCCCACCCCTGCAGAAATTGCCAATCTTGGACCACCTCACTCCCTCCAAAAAAACCAAACCAAAGCAAAACACCACAACTCTGGGTCTTGGCCCCCGTCTAAATTTTTAAAAGCCCTGCTTTAACTATTAAGAACATTTTAAATGTCACCCCAACCTCTCAGTGCATGCAGGCCACCCAATTAACACTTTCCAGGGCTGTGCAGTTACAGTCAGGAGTGATCCTAAGCAAGAATGGGAAAACATTAATGCCAGTGGATAGCACTGAGTAAACCAAAGCCACTTTAGCTCAGGAACATAATAATCACCATTTGCTCTGCATTTTACCTTCAACTTTAGGGTAAATCCTGATCTCCCCAACCCACTAAAACAAATAAGCCCAAGGTAAATGCCAATGAGGTTGTCGAGCTACCAAGAGCAAGCGTGAGGCGACAATATTTCAGGGCAGCTTTGGGCCTGGGCTTCTTCCCAAAATTTCACACGCAGGTCCATCGATCATGTCACCAGCTAGCTTCTCCCGTTCTCGGAGAATGCAGCAAAAGGGGCGATTTTGGAACCTCCCAAGTAAGATCTCCCCAGGGAGCAGACTCTGGGACTGACCACCCCCCAGGCTGCTGTGGAACCTCTAAACAAACAAATAAGCACAAGTGAGGATGAGCTGAGACACTCACCTGGAGCCATGCTGGTCTTGGGAAAACTCTACTATGTGTCCCATGAGGTCTCTGAGCTGAAGGTTCGGGAAACGGTTATTCCGGAAATCTTCTAATAAGCGACTGCGGCCGGAGGGCATGATGTCGGCCCGGCTGTAACGCAGCCGGGAGGGAGGGAACAGCTGGCTGCTGGAGCTGAAGAGGCTGCACGTGCTGGACGCGCTGCGGTGCTTGGCTTCTGCTCCAGGAGCTGCCGAGATATAACGCCCACTGCCATTGGCCAGGCCTCCTATGGCAAAGGGGCTCTTGTCAACTGGGGGTTTCAAAGCATTTCTTAAATACAACTTTACTGAGAACACAGATGCAGTGAGCAAACAAATATTTTCCCCTTTAGAATTGAGATTTATTACAAAATCCCCAAACTCCTTAATATGTATAGGTGCAATTGTCAAAAAGGAATATGAAAAGCAAGAGGGAAATTAACTTACAGAAAATATGCAAAGACTCTCATTCTAACGGAACCCCAGCAGCTAAATTAAAAGTGTGCCTAGGAAAATTTGAAGGCAAAGGGAAGGTGCAAGTATTTACTTAGCACCTGCTCGGTGCAGGGCCCTCTAGTGGCCTTAAGAGCAGCTCAGGCTCACAAATAAGATTTCAAGAGCCCCCCAGTCTAAATGTCCTGGCCACCCTGCGGTTTGGAGGCTTTCTCTCAAACAGACCCAACACCCTCTGGCACAAAGAAAACAAAGGGCCCCAAAATCATTGCAGGTGTGATCAGGCTTCCTGGAGGGAATTAGCCAGAATCAGGTCGCCGGGGACACTAGTCACTCAGAAAACAACCCTTCGGGGATGGACTCATTAAATGTTATGGGTTAGCTGTGATAATGAGTCTCTAAGCTTTATTTTGAAAAATATGCTTCTTTTGCAACCTTCAGACTGTTCTGTGGACATCATACAGACATCATGACCAACACCAAAAATTCCTAGGGGTTTCTGTGGGCAAAGGAATGAACAAAGTACTGCTAAGATTATCAGGTCCATTCAGAACCACGAAGTCGAATGGCAGCCAGCACTAAGACAAAAGAAGAAAACAAGAACACCAAAGGGGAAAAAAAGCACTTGACAGTGTCCTTTTAAATAAACCTTACAGAAAGTGGGAAAACAGGGATTTAGGAGCTATTTTTTAAGGCCAAATTATGAAAAGTCTACAGAGAATCTTTCCATCCCCTGGGTACAGGGCGGTCTAGTTCAATCAGACCTATGTGTTCATGTCATCGTGGCAAAACCAGTCCCTTGCTACCCAGAGCCACATAAAGAAGGACAGGATGATAGGGGCTGCAGGACAGACACCCCCCAGGAGGGCCAGGGAAGAAGTTCACCCTCTCCCTTATAACCATAGCATCTCCAAGTTCCCATTTTAAGGCCTGGAGAAAGACTCCCAGGTTGGCTGGTTCCTTAGGAATCAACTTGAGGTTCTCAGCAATGGCCCCCGTTGATTCTGCATAATTTCCTCCTTTTTCCTTCACCCCGAGAAAGAACCCACACACACCCCATGGCCTTCATACTATTTGAGTCAATCTCCCCATAGCTGCTTCAGCTCTGTCTCTGACTCAACTGGCATCCTGTATCCTTCATCGTTACTTCCAGCAGTGGGCCCTAGGTAGTCTCTAAGTCATCCCAAAGTATCAGAATTCTCCCCTACAAGGACTATTTTGAAGATGATCCTCTGTTGCTGCAAACCCTGCTCACTATCTCCAATCTGAGCCACTCAACACAGTATAAGAATACCACTGCCTTAACTTCCATGATGAATTCATGCCTCATCACACCCCTGAAGATTCTCAGCCAACCCTCCCTCTCTAAGCAGAATCCCCTCTAATGCCTTACTGAAGGAATTCCAGCGACTCCTTTCCCTCAATCCACAGCTTCTCCCACTCAAACCCATTACTTCCTCTAGAAAGGCAACTGTGACTGAGTTATTTGACTTGGATTTATACAAGGGCCACCAGCAATATTTTCAGAGATGTAAGTAATCTTGGTGGTCAAACAGGAAGGGAAAAAGTTGGAGTCCGAGTTCGGTCCAATACCTTCACTTCTGACTTGCTCAAGGCTACACAAGTAGTAAGTGGCTGCTCTAAGGGTGGGTGGGTGGGTGGGTGTGTGTGGGTGTGTACACGTGCGCACGCGCGCACACATGCAGGCATGCACACTTTATATGAATGTTTTACCTACTCAATTAAGGCTACAAATTTCTGGAAGATAGAAGGTGGTGTTTCTAATTCCCCATTTACATTTCAGGAACCTGTTCATTTCACAACTTCATTAGAAAGACAATGCAATCACAACCAACTGAAGTAGGCTCCCTTCTCACCCCCAATGACTTTCAGGGATGCCTCAGAGGACTCTGCTTGACCTAAGCTCCTACTTTCACTGCCCCTAGATGACCACCTCAAACATATCCTCAGGCAAGTCTTTCAAGAAGACTCTGTGTCCCCACTCTTGTCATGAAGTAGAGGAATTTGGGCAAAATTGGCTGTCAAGAACAAATCACGTTTTCTCCATGGCCGTTATAAACAAGAGATAAGCTTCTGTATTTAAAAAAGTCATTGAAAGTTCCCAGAAAGCTACCTGTTAGGGAGATGCTCAAGCAGCGAAAGGCCTGGCCTTCTACAATCTGTTCAGGCACACGAGGACTCCGAGTCGTGAGAGCCATGGAGGGATCCTCAACTCTAACTTCATCACTTTACAGACAAAGAAACTGAGGTCCAGAAAGGGAAAGGCTGGGGTCTTGGACAGAAAGGGGCGACAACTCAGAGGTTGTGAAAATGAGCTGTATGTGACTGAGTGGACTTGAGGAGTCCCACCGAGCAGATGGCTGATAGAGGACCAGACTTTGGGAAAGAGAGGATTGCTTGCATTCTGGAGTCCATCCGAGCCCACAACCAAACTAGAGAGTTCAGGGAGGCAGGGACTGAGGATTCGGGGGTACAGTCTATGACCAATCACTATTGAGGATGATGCATGCCAACCTGACAACGGCTCATTTCACGATTCCAGCCACTCAATTACTCCTCCTCCAGTACTGCCCATTTACCCGCTCCTCTCTACGGAGAGAAGGGAGGAGGAGGAGGCGCAAGTGACTGCTACATGGTTGCTGATTTTAGGAAGCTTACCATCTAGTTAGGGAAGTGTCCACACATCACCTTTAACTAAGAGCCCACCAGAGGTAAGGTTCATAGCCCCTGGGCATGCAGAGATGAGATGTGCAGAGAGAGGCTCACCTCCAGGAAGCTGTGGTCTAACAGGGGCCCAGCAAGTACAGACACAGACACGGTAGTGCCAAAAGGGATCTCAGGATAAGGACAAGCTCCCTCTCGGAGGTGGTGCTGACGCCAACCTATCTACTCCTGGGCAAGAAAGGCCATGACAACTCACTCGCAGGTGGGCTTGAGAGGCTGGAGGGGGAGGGGGTCTCTCTCCAACCACTTCAGCGCCAAGGACCTCTTTTCCCTCTACTGACCGTCCCCAGGCCCTTGACAACCTCACCAGGGCACCTCTCCCGGATACCATGCATTTCGTCCCCCCTAGTCAGCAAGTACAGATTAATTTGCTGCTATGCTTGGTCCTGGGGATTCCAGAGTCAAACAATGGGGAAGACAGAAGTGGAATAAATATAACTATACAAAAGGTATGGGTGGGAGGACACTAGGCTTGAGCAGGGGGGCTCTGCTGACCCAAGCACAGAGCCCAGAGATGGAGGATCATAGAAAAGGATCACAGAAGGTAGGAAAAGGGGAGGAGTGGGTTTGTGCAGGGCTTCCTAAGCTAAAGAAAGGAGTCGCTATCGTAGCCCACAGGCGGAAGGGAGGAGAGCGACCTGATCAAATCGGAGAATAAGAAAATCACTTTGGCATCACCACGGAGGATGGACTGGGAAGGAGAGTCATACTGAGAGAGCAATAATATTGGAGAAAGGAAATGAGAGCCTGAACCAGGGTGGTAGGCTTCATGAAGGAAGAGACTGGACGAGATGTGAGTGATGCCACGGAGACAGAAATGGCCAAACTGGGCAAGAGCTGGCTATGTGGAGTGAAGGAGAGTGAGGAATTCAGGGTAATGGCCAAAGTCACAAACCTGGCTAAACCGGTGCTGGAAGACTGAAGTTTAGGGGACAGCCTGGGACAAAATCAGCAGATCAGGCCACACATAAATGAACTAATGAGGCTTCCAAGAGGAAGACAACGGGGGGGGGGGGGGCCTATGAAAGAGCCCTGGGGAACATCTACAATCAAGGATCATGATATGAAGACTTAGAAGGGACAGGAAGACAAGGAGGAGGAGACCAGCAGTGTCAAATGCAGCAAATGGGTCAAGAAGGATAAGGATTTTTTTTAAAAGACCAGATTTAATAATACTAATAAATGGTAATATTTATATAGCACTTATTATGTGCTTAATGCTTTACAAATATTACCTTTTGTTCCTCACAAAAACCCTGAGAAGCAGGTGATGTTCTTATCCTCAATTTAAAGATGAGGAAACTGAGGCAGATAAAAGGGTCATGCAGCTAGTAAGTGTCTGAGGCTGGCGGTGAACTCTTGACTCCAGCTAACTTTGAAGGGGAGAGAAAACTTCAATTGAGTGATAAGGCCGGATGCCAGAACCAGCATGGTAAGGTTTTAGGAGAGAGATAAGAGGGAGGAGAAACAGTTATTTTTTCTAGGAGATTAGCTGGGGAAAAGGATGAGAGCTACAGGGCAACAGCTTAAGGGAATGAAAGGGCCCAAGGAAGGCTTTATTTGAAGGAGGGGGGAGATTGAGCTGGGTCTGAAGGTAGGAAGACTAGATCAGGAGAGGTAGAAGATTCCATGAGGCCCAGGGGGAGTTCACATTGTGCTCAGGAAGATGAGGAGTGGGGACGGCTTGGACTGTCTCATGGTCAGAGACTGAAGAAAGTCCAGGAGCAGGAGGGAGCACCTCTCTAAGTCTGAATGGCTAAAAAACCTTAAAAACAAACCCAAAAAAACACTTGTATCCTTGAAAAATGACATCATTTGGCTCAAGAAGGTAATCTGTCACAAACGTGTGGGAGGGGCTTGGCAGGGCTCCTCCTCCTGGGACCCAACTTCCGGCCTTGGCTGGTTTACAGATGGGCGCGGGTGTCTGGCTGACAGGAAGCCCCACTCTTGTACTCCAATTCCTCAGCCAGCCAGCCACATCCTCTAAAGAATGCCAGCTTAGATATCATCCTGGTCCAGTCTCCAATATTTCCAGATAAGTTTAGTCAAG